AAATTAGCCATAAACTTAACATTTTGCCTGTATAATACATATACATCAACAACAACAAAGCGTTTATCCCAAATGTTTGGGGTCGGGTACATGAATCCTATTCTTTCATTCCATTATGTTATGGGTCATCTCATCCGTTAAGTTAAGTTAGTCATAATCATATCCTTCCTAACTGCTTCCAACCAAGACCTTTTTGGTCTACCTCTAGATCTCCTTGGTGTTTTTGTTCTTTCTTGTAGAATACATATACTGCAATTAAAAGCTCATGTCTCCTTCTAGATCAGACGGAAATCTTAAAGATTTAAGCTGGTTGAGTTTTTTATATCTAGGAATATTTTGATGGATGAAGGGAGCATAAGATGGAAAAAAGCTGATGAGTAACATATATAGATCTTCTATACATTCAACTACAGATCCATGTCTGGACATGAATGCATCTTCTGCCTTATGTTATTTCAGTATGAATTCTCAACTTGTCTAAGTTAGTGATGATTTTTTCTACACCGCAGAGAATAAATTTTGGTTCACTCCGGACTTTGCTGGCAATGGGTCTGATACGCAAGTGGGTCCATCTCCACGGGCATTCCATGTAGCTGTTGCTATTGACTGCCATATGTTTATTTTTGGTGGACGTGTTGGTAATAAGAGGTTTGAACATCTTTTTCCCATGTTTACTCCGTTTGGTATTGTACTTTGTTTGAGCCTTAAAACTAAATAGATTAATAACCTTTCCAGGTTGGGTGATTTTTGGATGCTCGATACTGGTAACTTCCATTTAAGCTTCTATAAATGATATGAAAATTATTTCCCTTATTTATTATATTGCACATGCTTGTATCACATACTGATCGCTTAAACCTTTTCCCCTCAAAGCACAATCAAACATAGAACATAGCTTGAAGCTGATGAGGCTGCAGGAAATACCTTGTGGCAAACTCTCGGCTATTGAAACTATAGGAAAGAATTTCACCAGTGGTTTAAGCTCATACAAGCAGGGAGTGAAACCGGTCAATAGTTAATTTGATAGTCCACTTATAGCGAGTTTCAGGGAAACTGGTTTCCATGACCTATCTTGTGTCAGAATTCCGTGATTATGCTTGCTTGCTGCTCCTTTTAACATCACGCTCTATGTTATTACTGGATCGGTAGCTTGGTCTAGTTCTGCCCTCCTAGTACTTGTTCAAACTGCTTGTTCCCTACCATCTGCTTGTGTTTCCATGATTATCTGCATATTCTTCTATTATATTTCTTGTTCAGCAAATATGTACTGCTTATCATCTATCTCTCATTCACTGTACACAATGAGCAAGATGCTTATTCATGTGTGTTATACATTTAAATCTAGCAATTGTGGTGCATGAAAGCAATTGTTTCAGTTTAAGAGTTGTTGAATATTCTACTCTAGATGATTTTCTCCGACACCCTTCTCTCTGAGGATTTTGATTCATGAACCTTTGAGAGTTTATATAATCAACTTTTACCGACTTGTAGCTGTAGTAAAGTGCACTGAACATTGAATACTATTTTCTGTGACAAACTCTGATTTAAGAGCCAGAAGGCTTCCAAAAATTATTGACTTTGTTATTGACAACTAACCTAATCCTACCCCTCTCTATATGCGCGAGACCTTTGGCTGTGCTAACCATGGTGAAAAGAGTCATAAAACGAAGACTGTCGGTTGGCTAGTAGGAGTTAGCCTTGTGCATCAAGTAGTTAAGGTTTACACAATGAGTAGGCAAACTTTTCAAATTTATTTTTGAAGCTTGACTTTTACTAAGTTTTTGGTGAAACTACTTTCTTTAACAATTCCATAATTATAATCATCCCATCATTTGGAAACATCATGTATACATGCTACAACTTAGTAGTTTCTTGTTTTTGCTCCTACTTATTGGTTGCCCCAACCCCTTATCTCTAACTTCTAGAACCTTTATTTAGTCTCTTGAAGAGCTTTGAATTCTGGCATCATACTCAATATACATGTTCAACTTGTTTTTATTATGAAGTTACTTGATGTACGACCCTGTGCTTGCTCATGTGTTTCATATTTCTGTACATGTTCAAATTGCAGTGTGCTTAGGTCCTCTTTTTTGTGAGATAATATGCACTTAAAATTGACCTATTCACACACTTGCACACATGCAAGCACACACAAACATACATATACAGCACAATCATTTCAGTGAGAACCATGGAAGTTTCTGTAGTAGGCAATTTTTTTTACTTTATTATGAAGTGTTAAATCATTAAATTTTCATAGTTCATTTTTGTATCTGCATATTTCCCTTCTTGTAACTTCAAATTGATAAATATATTAGATAGCTAATCCTGTTGTCTTTCACAGTCTGATAAAATAAATCCTCCATTGCACTTCTTTAGTTTTTGATCACGGAAGATTTTTTTATTTTTTTGCTGGATGTATGGTTGTTTCCATTTAACTTCTACTTGATATTCAGTGGGACCATGGTTTATTCTCTTTCAGATATTTGGCAGTGGTCGGAGCTAACCACCTATGGTGATTTGCCAACACCACGGGAATTTGCTGCTGCTTCAGCAATTGAAAACCGAAAAATCATTATGTAGGTATCAGTATTTTGGTTCATAGAAACTTTTCTCAGTGAAAGTTGTGGGTACAACTCTTCTTCTCAAATACATATATGCAGGTATGGTGGTTGGGATGGCAAAAAGTGGTTATCTGATGTGTATGTCTTGGACACAAGTAAATTTCTGAAACTTTTTATGTTTCTTTCACTTCTTTGATACATTGTTGTATTATCTTCCATGTTCGCACAAAGAGTTTCTAGAATATGTTATTATCTTAAACAGTGTCACTTGAGTGGATGGAGTTGTCTATTACTGGATCGGCGCCGCCTCCTAGATGTGGGCACACAGCTACCATGGTTGAAAAACGTTTGCTCATCTTTGGAGGCAGAGGTACAATTACAACATTCTCTGACTATTGTGTATCTTAGATTGGGACATTGACCAGCTGCTTTTATGTTTTGAAGTCTTATCTTTCTTTGTCATTTTTCTATTTCTTTATTTCTTTTTTGTAGAATTTATTTTTGGATGTTCCTTTTAGTTACCTACTTACCTATTTAAAGTTTTATGTGTGTCTAAGCATTTTTTACTATAAGGGTGCAATTTCCAGGAATTGAGTTTCTGGGTGTTTCAAGTTTTTGTTTAGAGTTTCATGTGCGAGAGTCAAAGCATTTGGCACTGTAAGGGGAGAAATTGCCAGTATTGAGGAAAATAACCAATAAACTGCTAATTTCACGTCTATTGTCCAGAGACTGACTTTAAATTCCATTTCTATTTGGTTGAGTGAGAGTTTTACTTGATGTCAGAGTATATGCAAATTTACAGCGTAAAGAAATAATCTACTGTCCTTTTCACTGTTCCCTTTCAGTTTTATCGCCCTGAAACTGCTTAATGTTTATGATACATTAATAAATAATTTCTTCCTGGAATTATTTTTTGTAACTGAGATGCAGTTGCTATATTGGATGATTCAATGAAGAATGCCCTGTAATCATAAATTACTTTTTACGCAGTTAAATGTGTCCCCAGAGAATGTTCATGTCTATAGAGACTTAAATGACTTTATTGTATCTCAACTCTCACAGGGGGTAGCGGACCTATAATGGGCGATCTTTGGGCTTTGAAAGGCCTGTTTGAAGAAGGTAATGTTTAAATTTCCTACTTCTCATTTAATGACAAAATATGCACAGACATTTAATTTCAGTTTTCTGTATGACAAAATATGCACTACAGTTAACATTGCAGGACCACATCAGAGCATGACAGGAAATAGGATATGAATATGTTGTGGATAGAGTCACATGTTGGAACTTGTTTGTCTGTATGTCCCATTTGTAAGGATATAATGGTTAAAAGAATAATTAGTCATCTGGCATAAAAGGGTTTATGGATCATATCTTTCTACGAATTTATAAATTATGATCAATCTTTGCAAGAGCAGTATGAAAATTTCACTGGGGAAGTGGACAAATTATATAAATGCACCGTTAAGTCAAATGGGATTCTGAATCGACCATTCCAGTAGATTTTAATTTCTTAGACTCAGAGGCATCTCTTATACGTCGTCAATATTTGCTGGATATACTATAAATTTTGGATAAAGTATAGGAGTATTTGGCTGTATATATAAAATATCTGAGTATCCAAGTACTGGATGCAGATATTTCATTAAGCTTGGTATAAATGTATGTGATAATGATAAAATCTCTCATTGCTCTTATATTTGCAAATGTATTTGATAAATTTATGTTTGTTTAAGGTGATTCACTAACAGGAAGATCAACTATAATACAATACATCAACCTCATAGGCAGCTTATAGATGGTGTGATCGCGGTAATCTTTCATCAGTTTTGTTCAACTAAACTAATGATATTTTTATGCATAATAATTGAGTGATGTTTTTTGGGGTTTACGATGAACGGTTCTTACGTTATGTCTCTAGATTTTCTTGCTGGCATCCGGGTTCAGCCCCGGGTTTTAGAAGTATAAATTTTATTTGGGTATAGATCTGCATATCCATATGAACCGCATATGATCAACTGGAATCTAGAAGCTGATGCAATCAGATGTTCAACTATCTACATTTAGCTGAGGTACCCCTTGGACCTAATGGATGTGTTGCTTCATGTATTATATCCACATGAGACTGGGCATTTGACAAGGATTTTTCAAGCATTTATGCATCATAGATTGCATGTCAAATTCACCATAGATGTTCATTGCTAACCAATATCTTGCATATCTTAGTATGAGTATGGGAGAAAAGAAAATTATTCAAAGGGTTCCACGCCTAAAACTGGACTATCTTAAAACTTAATTAAGAAGTTGCTTGAGTTCATTTCTAGATCATATCTTGCATGTGTTATAGTGTGAGTATGGGAGAAAAGAAAATTATTTGAAGGGTTCCATACCTAAAACTAGACTATCTTAAAACTTATTTACTTTGTATATGCTATAACTCGTATTGTCAGAATCTCTTTGCTGTTGGTTTAATTTGTATCCAGTGTCTTATTAATCACCTTCCATCTTTATTTGCAGATAATGAGACACCAGGATGGACTCTCTTGAAGCTTCCAGGACAAGCTCCATCTCCTCGCTGTGGCCATACAGTGACTTCGGGGGGACACTATGTAAAGCCCTCTCAAACAACCTTTGTTTTTCCCCCCTTTTTAATCATCATTCTAGTTTGTCTGTTTTCTGCATTTACGATTATGCACCAATGTGAAAGCTGCCTTTGTGTGTAGATGTGCGAGCAGCATCAAGGGCTTCTAAGATGAAATACTGTTTTTGTAACTTAGATGCAGGCAATGTAAAGTTTTCCAAGTCCTTAGGGCACACTAAGCAATCAGTGGAGCTAGTTGTTTACTTCGATTTTCTTTGCATGTAGAGATTTATGTTTATAACTCCTTGGAAACGTTCTGGAAATAGCTTTTAGCCGTGTAACAGAGACAGTGAGATTCGTTTCTTCATGTTTATATATTGGCAAAACTTGTTTATCTACAAAATTAACTCCTTGGAAACGTTCTGGAAATAGCTTATAATCTGTATGTTGCAAGATTTTTTTATGCAGTCAAGGATAGAATGGATTGTCGAATTATCAAATAAAAACAAAAGGAGGCGACTTCATTGCAATTGCAGAAATGAATATGATTGTTCATTGACATTTCAGTTGTTCTTCATTTATCTTTTGCTGAATCAGTTTTTGGTTCTTAATGTTACTGTTTTTGTAGGGTACAATAAATAAATTCGTTTGAATCAGGATCCCTTTTCTGCCATATGATGTTCATATAATTCGATTATCTCATATCTTTGAGGTTCTGGAAGTGATATTATTATTATGTATCAATAAGAAAACCCTGATTCTGTAAGACTTTTGGAGTAACATTGCTGCACTGCAATTTGAGTAACTAATTTTTCTTATTAATTAGTTTCACATTGGAATTAATTGCAATATTGATAAAGTACCTCTTATATTTAATTGTTGGAGAGTTGATGGTGGAGTCAATGTCACCGACCTTTTCATTTCCATCATGCTGCTTCCTTTAATTTTTGGGGATGGTAAGGTTAAGTAAGCAACTGTTTTGCTAAATTTATCTGTGTGTTTTTTCAGCTTTTATTGTTTGGTGGGCATGGAACTGGAGGTTGGCTGAGCCGGTATGACATCTACCACAATGATTGCATTGTTTTGGATAGAGGTAAATCTTGCATAAATGGCCAGATGTGAAGTTAATAAAACACGAAACACAAAAAGTTCATGATTCCGTTTTCCCAGCATAATATAAAAATAAAGGGAGTTATAAAGCTACTATGTCATGCCAAGGATCTTTTTCCTCATACTGCATGACTAAGAATTATGCATTTTGAATATTTTAATTCTTTCCCTCGGGATGCTAATGATTCATTATATTTTGTTTCATGGTAATCACATATTTCCTCTTCAAGTTAAATTCATGTTTATTTATTTTATTATCGTTAGGAGTCATGCTTGGATTTTGGTATATGATATCTGGTGCTTCGTTACGGCTTAATTTAATTATTGGTTTCGTTATTCGAGACTAGTTTCCCCTACTTCTCATGATCATATTGCTGCTAAGTTCTTTTTACTGGAATTTTTTTTTTTCTTTTCTTTTTATGTTTATTTACTTGAATGTGCTTCTCTTTTGCTCATCCTGATTCTATACCTTTGCTTAGAAACATCTTTTAATTTGTAATGTTGGAGATCATATGAATGGCATATTATGTGTTGATTACTACCAATGTATTCTGTTAACCATTCAAACGTTTAAATATAATGTGTGCTAGAGACAAAGTTCTAATATTTGATTACACCTTGGTGTCTTCAGTCTCTGTTCAGTGGAAACGCTTGCCTACAAGCAATGAATCTCCTCCACCTCGTGCATATCATTCCATGACTTGCATTGGTGCACGCTACCTTCTATTTGGAGGATTTGATGGGAAATCCACATTTGGTGATTTATGGTGGCTTGTACCAGAGGGTATGAAATCAATGTTTTAATGTCAGTGAAAGGATGTCAACTGAATGTCTCAGCTTTCTTAAGGTGTACAATTTCATCAAGATATATGTACATCCCTGAGTGTTAGCACGTCTTATTTTAATTATTTGACAGATGACCCGATAGCAAAGCGGTCAATTCCTCAACATATTCTTCCTGAAAGCAAACCTGTCACAGTTTCAGTCTCCCAGTCTAGCTTACAGGTGATGCGAGATTGTCAAACCTCCAATTTTGATTTATTTACCCTACTTATAAGTAATTCTTTCGTTAGTTATCATAATAGATTATTTTCATGTCCATTACCTTGGAAACTAATAACTGAAGGGAGAGTGTTGTTGGTTAATGCTACTGATCTTATATTAACTGGGTAAATATATTTCATTGCAGGACAGTCAACTAGAACAGTCTCCAATTTTAGAGCTGCAGAAAAGATTAGGAGTTTCAATATCTTCTCCTAAAGCTCATATTGATCTTAGTGATGATATAGATGATAAAGAACTCCTTGAATTATCATCAAGATTGACTGGAGAATCACTACCTACGAGGGATCAAGTTGCCTGCATTCAGGTATGTCAATATCGGGGTTATTCTTTCTTTTCTCTATTTATCAGGTTTTCTATTCAATTATGTTCTTCACTTGGGGAAATGCAGAGACTGCGTGAGCACTGGAAAAACTCGTCAGCAACTTCAGTACAGCTTCGTGAGCTTGGACCACTACTTCGAGACTATCAGCGTCTCATAGTTAACTATCATGTGTAAGCATACTTTTCCCAATTGCTTTCTATTAGATAAAGGAATGCCAATTTTAACTGTCAATTCAATATCAATTCCATCAGACAAACTTGAACCACAGTTTCAGTTGTCCATAATCCTACATGTAGTGCAGATGATATTTTGAATTGTTATGCTGTTTGTTATTAGTGAACATACAAGTCCTTATACTATTTTGAAATCTATGTTCATAACTCTTTTACTCTCGTACAGTGTTACCTGCAATTTTTCTATGGTCTTTAGCTTGTTACTTTTTGAATATAACAACTTGTGTTCGTCATGATCTTTTGGCAATTTCAAGATGAGCAGAGTATCATAAATATATAGAACCAATCTTTACAGTTCAAATGGCATTTGCAACTTATGATATTATCTTGATCAATTTTCTAACCTCTTTATTCGCAACTATGACAGAAAGAATATTGCTTCCAGTTCACCCTCTACCGCACAAAATCTTGGACAAAGCGTTCACCGGTTTTTTCATTTGAAAAGGGCTTCACAGGTATGGATGAGTGTTTCAATCCATCGATGCCACATATTTCTCATAAGATCATCTGCAATTCTCAATTCATACGATTATATCAGGAACGGCATGGATTCTACTGTTAGTGCCTGTACGTCTCTAGAACATGTGTTCGTTGAACAGGGTAAAGTCATTGAAAATTCCAAAATTAAAAGAGAGAGAGTGCTTATCTGTTCAGTTAGCATGCCGATGTGTATGATTATAGGAAGAGACATGTCTTGGGTCACATATTGTAGGCGAAAAAAATTTACTTAGTATCATCTGTTGCCAATCAAAGTAGGGTCTTCTATGGAACATAATCTTGGTATATACTGTATAACAAGCAAGTCCTTTTTTTTCTTTTTCCCAACTTTCGATATAATCTATGGTTGGTTGGGGAAGCGGAAAATATTTTCCCCTGGGAATTAAGAAATGAACTAATTATTTCTCTTACTATCAGATTTATGCTGAGAGGAGGGTGAATATTTTCAGTTAGCTATAGGGAATTGCATTTATTCTCCGAATTAAGCCAAACTAAAGTTATCGACATGTTTTCTTTCAGTTGCGCATGGATGACATCCCAGAGCTGCTGAAGGAGTACCAGCAGCTCGTCTCAAGCTCAACCTGAAGAAGATCATACAGGGTTATCGATATAAAATTCTGCTGTTGTCACACCAAAATATGATGCTTTGTGTCCTTTTAAAGACGTTTTAAGAAAAAATTAATGTAATGTTTCTCTGCAATGAGTCAGCTAGTTCACATCTCATTTCTGTATAGCATTAGATTTGAGGGTCGGGAGGCAAATAAAGATGTAGGAACTAATTTGTTACTCTCTCT